GCAGCAGGAGCGCTTCGAGCAGTTGTCCAAGCAGCGGGAATGGCTGTCCGAGCAGCGTACTAACAGCAGTTTGAGGAGCCCGTTGAGCAGCGGTTCCATGCACTGGAGTAACAACTTGCTGGACAGCTCCGACCACCAACTTGATATTACTTTATTTGGAATCCTTTTTTATTTGAGAAACTCCTGACTCGAAGGAATGATAACAACCGATCGGATGAGTCTGAGCCCAACTTTCTGTTACACAATCACAATGCCAAGATCATTTTCACAATGCCAAGATCGAAGCCTATCAAAGTGCTATCTATCCCATTGAAACCCATCAAACCACTGCCTATGTATGAAATTCATTACTCAAAAGCCACTGAAACCTATCAAAGTGGTACCTATCCCATTGAAACCTATCAAACCACTGCCTGTCAAAGTCACTTCTCAAAAGCTACTGAAGCCACTGAAGCCTATCAAAGTGCTATCTATCCCATTGAAACCTATCAAACCACTGCCTACCAAATTTATTACTCAAAAGCTACTGAATCCACTGAGGCCTATCAAATTGCTATCTATCCCATTGAAACCCATCAAACCACTGCCTATCAAATTCATTACTCAAAAGCTACTGAAGCCACTCAAGCTTATCAAAGTGCTACCTATCCCATTGAAACCTATCAAACTGCATATCAAAGTCATTTCTCAAAAGCTACTGAAGCCACTGAAGCCTATCAAAGTGCTACCTATCCCATTGAAACCTGTCAAACCACTAACACCAACAATAGCACTGCCCAACAATGCCATTCTTTCCAAGAAGCCCCTGAAGAATTCTAGAGTAGTACCTATTCAATCAAAACCTCAAACCCACACCTCTCAAACCTTTGAAGCTTATACCTATCCCATTGAGACCTGTGGCATCACTAATACCCACAAAACACTGCCCATCAAAGCCATCCCTCCTAACTCTTTGAAGCCATTGGAGCATAGCAAAGTGCTACCTATTCCATTGAAACCTGTGGCAACAGTCACTCATTTGAAAACACTGCCCATCAAAGCATTTCTGAAGTCCTTGAAGCCTAGCCAAGCAGTGTCACATCTCAAACCCTTCTTCCCAAATTTCCAATTGCAAGCAACCCTCCCATAGTAATTTCCTCTCAACCTGCTCATACCCACGCGATACTTCCAGTCAGTTCACAAGGTAATGCAGGTATGATGATTCAACGGGGCATAAGATCGCAATATGTATGTAGGTGATAAGAACAGTGTGCTTGGATCAGTGCCACCCTCTCCCAAGATCTCCCCAAGGGCAGTGGTCAAAATGACCCTGTAAGGGGCATGAGCAGCAGGTGCAGCAAGGATGGTGGCCTTGAGTGGTAATGTTACAGGAAGTGTGGTGGGGATATGTGCAGGATGAGAGGAAATTACTATGGGAGGGTTGCTTGAAATTGGAAATTTGGAAACATGGGTTTCAGATGTGACACTGCTTGGCCAGGCTTCAAAAATTTCAGAAATGCTTTGATGGGCAGTATTTACATGAGTGAGTGTTGCCACAGGTTTCAATGTTGCTTGTTGCAATCAGATATTTATTGATTGTGATAATTTTTGATCCAGTCAAGAGACATGGAAGGGTTTTCAAAATCAAACCCGGTCAATAGTTTAATTTATATGTTTTGGTTTAATTTTTATAAAGGTTTAAGTATTATATTTGATTTTTTATAAGAGTTGGGATCAAGTGGAGAGGAAAAGAGAAAAGGGAAAGAAAATACTATAAGATATCTGTTAATCTTGATTGAAGGAGATGAAGGCTTACTTCAAGGGATCCAGAGAGGTATATCAAACAAGGAAAGGTAAATGTTTTGGGATATTGGTTGAGGTGCATCTAATTATGAGGTAGAGAATAGAATACAAGTCAATCAAAATCTTTTAATCTCAAAACTAATTATATAGACACTTTGTAAAAAAGGGATTAGATAGAGTAAGACATAAGTAATTACCTTTTATTTTGGTGTCTCAAAAGTAATTATGAGAGGTAAGAAGATCTTCTATTGCTCAGGAGGGAGGAAGGACTGTTCCGGTCTCAGGGGTTGAATATTTTGTACCATTCATTCTTCCAAAGCTTGGTATTGCTTGCATTGCCTTGATTTGATCATCTTGCAAGGCTGAAGTCATCTTTTTTGAAGATTGCTTTTAATATTCAAAGGATTTGGTGTTCTTTGATTAACATTAATTTCAAGAAATCAAATATCTGTGAAACCTCTAACATGTAAGTGAAATCTAGATTAATTTCAATATTATTGTTTCTTCCATTTGTTTTAAATGTTTTGTGAAACCTTTAGGACATGTCAACATTTCTCTAAGGTTGACACTACCAGCAAAAAATCCAGATGAGAGGAAGGGCCAAATCCAAGAATTTTGGGTCCCTTTGAAAGAATTCAAGTTCAATGAAGCGGAAGTTATTGCTGGATGTTCAAACCACATATTTTACCTACTTCCACAACTCAAGTGTGGTGAGCAATTGACTGTTGTATGAACAAATGGAAAAAAACCATGACCACACATTTGGTCCCAGATGATGTCAAATTAGACCTAGAATTTTGGTAAGAAATACTGTCTAATTTCAAGAATACACATCTAATTCCTTTGAGGAAACCTCTAGAGATAAAATGGGTAGGAGATGCATCTACTGGTTTTGGCATTTACATCCTTATCAGCCATTGCTGGATTCAATTCATCCTGATCAGCCATTGTTGGAGCCAATTCTGGTAGAAAGAAACCTGGAGGGATGGTATTACTGCCAGGGGAATTGCTTGGCTAGAGACAACACTGGGTAGTTAAATTACCTGTAATGGTAGTGTAAAGATAAAGTAGTGAGTTTCCACTCATTATCATTACTTTCCCCATAATGATTGGAATTTTTTTGCACATTACATTATCCATTTTGCCTTGGATTTTTTTTCATGCTCATTAAACTATCAGAAACTTGTAGTTTTTTTTCTTTGAAAAGAACCATAAATATTGGCAAGACATGTGATACTTTCTGGACATTCATGGCATTTGTTCCTTCCAAAGCTCAAAAAGAGAAGCTTTTTTGTCACTTAAAATGTGTTTAGGGTTGCTTAACCTCTGGATAATCTGATAATGCATTACTTTATCCATTCATCACACACAAAAACTTCACCATTACACTACTGGCTGAAAGAAAAATTTGCCACTACTGATGATGGTAATGTATCAGGGAAAAAATCAAGTGCACTACATTACTGAGATAATGCAGATAGCGCAGCGTAAAGTAGAGACCCAGTGTTGCTAGAGACCTTCAAAATTCCAACTGTATTGTTTGGACTGATAATTATACAGTCACCAAATCAGTACTAAATACAACAAAATCAAAAGGTCCTTTCATGATTGAAGAATGGAAGGTCATTTAGTCCCTTCTCATTCTCCACAAACTTGACATAAACCCAAAGAGGGTGACCTCAAATGACAGCCAAGAAGATGCCTTGTTAAGGGGCATTTAGATCCCTTGTGTTAGAGAAAATAGAGTATGGGTAGCAATACCTAGCAATCATTTATGTTTAATGTGTGATATTATAAGTTCACACAATTTCCTTCCTTGTACTAGCTGTACTGTTAGCATTTATAATCTTGCTAATTAGTGATGAAAAAGGTGCCCTACATCCCACAATTTATTTTAATTAGTAAAAATGACATTGGCAAGCAACAGCTTAACACCTTCAATAGCCCCACAATTCAATAAAAACATACAATTTTTGCACAACAGGACAGAGTCCAAACTTATCTACCCACACCAGAATCTTTGCATATTATATTGGCATGGTGCTGGAGCACACTTCTCAGATACAATAGCACTGTAAATAAATACCTAGTGTATCACTCAACAAGCAGCAATGACAAATCGTTACTTCCTTTGTCACCCAGCAACTTGGAAGGTTTTTGCGTGTGGGCATGCTGAAATGCCTAAACTTCTAACCCATGCAAGATTTCATCCAAGTAATTAAATAAACAACTCATTGGCCTGAAGTCCTGGCACAATCTCCACACTGCATTATATCCAGAAGTGAATAAGACAAAGATAAAACTACTAATAACTATGATCCATGGCTAGTTTGTATGCAGTAACTCCAACTAACCCAGCTAATCCACCAGCAATGGTATGGCATGTTGAATATGCTTATAGCCTAGTCAGTATGCTTCTAACAAAACCGTGGTTGTATATAGTCTATGCTGGCTTCACCTCTATATACCTTTCCTCACTGAATCTAAAACAATATTTTATCTTTGTGATCAGTCACTGTCACAAGACCAATTGTCTGTGACTTTCAGCTTCTCACCTGGTCCACCTCAACATGGCACCTCATGATTCTACTAACATCCCTCTATTGGAAATTAGACTTTGACAGCACCCTCTTAGGCCTCTGCATTGTGGAATCTGGGGGATGGCACAAATGGCAGAGCTGACTTACAACAACAAGACTGGCTCTTTATGCTAAAATACCTTGGTCACAGCCTTGGAAAGATGGCCACCATCACCTTATGAGGGGTGAAGACAGCAGGCTCATGCGGCACCCAGCTCCTTTTGTTAATGGAGTAAACACAAATTCTCTTTCCTGTTTGCACAGTTGAACACAGATTTTCAGAGGCAGGGGGAGACAGAACATCCCTTGTTGGGTTGCTAACACATCACTTGGTGTGTGGCCTTGGAACAAATAAAAGAAATCTTGTTATAAAATGAAAGACCATCTCTGTTGGGCCTTTCCTTCCAGGTGGGAGGGGTATCATTACACCACACTTTAGGAATGCCCACTGAAAGATTTGATCCTTAGGCTGTTGGACCTCTTGGAGCTATATATTGTACCTTAGACCCTACTGTTGTGCGGACTTGATCCACACACTGCCAAAGTTGTTGTATTGGTTACAACCCCCTGCAGTAAGGTCGGTTGGAGGTGGCTGATGAAAGATTGGTCTCCCCAACCAATTTTATAGTGTCCAGGCCCACTGATGCATGACCACTTTGTTCTAATCAACGGTGGGCCGCTACACTAACCGTAGCGGTTAGTGTAGCGTAACACAGCGGAATTCCCGTTAGCGTTAAGCGTAGCGTATCGGAATTCCGCCACGACACCGCCAACGCTACGCGTGTGTCCCACAAAAAAGGGCCCACTACGCTGTGCTACAGCGGTTTTTAGCCGCTTTTTCCGCTAAAAGCGCTGTAGCGTAGCAAAAATGCGCTACAAAAGTGCTAACACTACAAAATTTTGGCGCAAAAAAAGCGCCGCTACGCTACGCTTTTTGGGCCAAAAGCGTAGCGGCCCACCGCTGTTCTAATGTATTGGTGGTCCCAGCCAATATAAAATTGGTCTCCCAGACCAATATAAAATTGGTCTCCCAGACCAATATAAAATTGGTCTCCCAGACCAATATAAAATTGGTCTCCCAGACCAATATAAAATTGGTCTCCCAGACCAATATAAAATTGGTCTCCCAGACCAATATAAAATTGGTCTCCCAGACCAATATAAAATTGGTCTCCAAGACAAATATAAAATTGGTCTCCCAGACCAATATAAAATTGGTCTCCCAGACCAATATAAAATTGGTCTCCCAGAACAATACAAAATTGGTCTCCCAGACCAATTTTAAATTGGTGCCCTCTGTTTGACTTTCTGTGGTGTGGTGTTCTAAACGGTACAGGCCCCCTCAAGGTCAATTTTCAACTGTTCAATATCCTCAAGCCTCAAGATTTCAATATTATCACCTCGAACCCCCTACCAGTCCAACAGCTTCCTTCATTATATTATTTTACTACATTTTTG